GATCGTTTTGTAAATATTGTAAAAAAAATTGAATCCTGATGATGCACAAACTGTGCGAAAACGTTTGAAGTAACATTTCAAAATTCTTACATTAGTATTAGCTCTAATCTCGTGAACACGCGGCCGCAAATCTATTGCACACATGGTTACCTTGTTCATGTACGCCAGGTCAAAGTTCAAAAAACTACTGATGGCCCTGACGGTCTGCCGTATTGGTTATACCGTGAAATCGCCCATAATGTAGCAGAGCCTTTGACGTACATTTTGAATCTGTCTTTATCAAGTACGGTTTTTCCTGAAACTTGGAAACTTGGTTGCATAAAGCCTATTCCGAAGTGCCCCCTTCCATCTGAGATTTCTGATTTGCGGCCTATCTGTCTGACTTCTATTATTGCTCGTGTGTTTGAGCGAATTGTATTTGACAGCTTTGTATCTAAGCGATATCATTCAACCCTGTCAGACGATCAGTTCGGTTTTCGAAAAGGTTCCTTAACTACGTGTGCGCTTATCAAGCTACTAAACGATGTTTACTGCCTCCGTTTAGAACAGGACTACGTTAGACTCATCACTCTTGATTTAAGCAAAGCGTTCGACTCTATTTCTCACCGTGCTATTATTTATGGATTTCATAAGCTCATTATAACCCCTTTCTATTGAACTGGTACAACAGATTTTTTTTCTGGTCGCATACACTCAACTTTTGTAAACGATCATTTATCTTGGGAACTAACTATCAGTCAAGGCGATCCGCAAGGGACAGTAAACTGACACCGCTTTTCAACAGTGGTACAAATGACGTATCAGTTGCATCTGACATTCCTGAAAGATGTTGTAGGCTTAGCAAATTCGCTGATGATTTAACCCCAGTTGTCGGAGGTCGCATAGGTGAACAATATTAATACGTGACGTTATTAATAATTAATGTACTCGAAGTCCAATTTAACTCCAAAAACTTGACGCTGAATCAAAAGAGTTTCTTTTATCGTTTAAAAAAGGTCAACGACCTAGAACTAGTCCTGATAACTGGAGTTGAACGTGTGACTTTGCGAAAGGTACTCGGTGTCATGTTTGACGAGAATCTGTCGTTCAAGGAGAACATTGCGTCAGTATCATGTCTGTTTTTTGGTGCGCCTCAAACGTCTGAACTATACAACAGAAGAGCTGAAATTACTTTATAATTCTTTGGTGATATCTCGATTATCTTACTGCGCGTCTGTTTGGGGTGGTACATATTCATATTTACAAGATCAAACAGACCGAGTTCAGAACAAAGCACTGTTTGTTGATATTATTGACAAAATTGAACCTATTCGCAAAATTATCTGCAAATCTGACCAGGCCTTGCTACGCGAAATAACCGAGACCGGGTATCTCCATCAGCTATATCTTCTCCTGCCACGCAGAACGAATTATGCCGCAGATACCCTGCGACCCAGAAACGCTGGAGTCATGAAGGCTAAATTGGAAAAAAAACACTCTGTATTTTCCCTTCGAGAGTTTTCACAGGAGTGGTCACTTAATTTGTAAATATGTATTGGTATTTTTATCCGATATTAAAAAAAGTTTTGTCGTTGTTTGTATGTTGATGTTAAACAGAAGGTCAGAAGTATCATAGTAACCGACGTTACTGTCAGGAGTCTCCTCATCACGTATTCCAGTCAAACCCTTGGAACTTTCTAGATACGGAAGTGATAGTGATAAAAGAAGATGACAAGGGTTGATGTCCTTACAATTAAAACCGATAAGAGTTACGTTTCTTCACTAAGAACACGCAACTCGACACGAGAAAAAAATAATATACAAGTGTTACAAATAAAAATATTTGTCGAAAGTTTTTTTGTTATTTATTGTTCCGAGTCGCAAGCGGCGTTCGCAATCTGTATTGCCAGGGAGATTCTTTGTTTTAAAAGCTACCTGCTCTGGGTTCCTCAGTGCATATGCTTAGGTTCTTACAAAGCTTGCTCAAAAAAACTTCTGTGCTGGGGCCGGCCGCACCCTGAATCTCAAAAACTAGCGGTTGAAAAAGATGCCCATCATCTACTAAGTCTTTATACTTGTAATTTTTTCGCTCTTACGCTTCAGCGGCAGCCGTACCAGGGTTACAAACAGACCCGGCACTAATCCTACTAGGAGCTGAGGAGTCTACTACCGTTAGATCCCACAAGAGCTGCTTATCAGCAGCCCATGGAACGAGCGTCAAACCGTGTGGTCGCTTTTGATCGGTCCTAGAGAGGTGTCGTGGTTCTAAAATCGACGGAATGTGAGAAGAAGATAAACTCTGCTTTACAAGGACAATCAGGTTTTAATGCCTAGAGAATCTCACTGCATTTTTGAGCAAAAAAAAAACCCTGCCAACCATCTTCGGTAACGTCTTTTCCGCACACGCATTTATGGCGTTCGCATATTTTGAGCGCTATCGAAGACCTATCGCAATTCTGAGTTGTTGGTTTGACTTGTTTAGTTTTAAACTTTTGCACGGGAAGAAGTTCAACCATTAGGAGCCAAATCTATCGTGGAACAGGTTGAATCTTTTTACGTCCGTTGGTTCGAGTAGCAAAAATCAAGTCTGCGATTTCCGTCCAATTTTTTGGATTTCATTTTCCGGAATCATTTCAATTTTTCCAAGTTCAAACCATTGTTTAAGCTTATCATCATAGGTTCCATCCACATTCTCCAAACCAAAAGTTTCTACTGCTGAGACTAAGAAAGCGGGTAAAGCTAGTAGACGAGCGGAAAAAACGCCCAAGCCACCTTTGGCTGCCGGGAGAGCTGCTTGGAAAAACTGCTTGCCTCCATTTTCACATTAATGACCTTGGATAACGATTTTCTTAGTATTATGTCGTAGCGTTCCAAAAAATCATGTTGCAAAAAAACAAGGGCTTGTATGCAAAAAAAAAAAAACTTAGGAGTTTTGACCTGCTAAAGCAATTTTTTAGAAGATAAAAACGATAATGAGCGTCTAGTTTGTCAATGTCATCCGACATTTTTTCAAGCTCCTTAATTTTTTCGTCGAGCAGTACTTTTTGGCAAAGTTCGACGATTAGAGATCCTCAAATGAGGAGTTCTTCTTTTGTTGTTTTTTGGGGCATATTTTCCGAAAGTGTGTTAAAATTGAATTACACTGTTTACTCGTAGTCGGTCCCGCAAGACAAATTTCGCACTTTTAAGTGTTCAAGCTCAGGCCGAAAATTTGTTCCGATTTCAGAATGTTTTTAAGGTCCCAGAGTACAACCTTATAAACGTCGGCTAAATTTCTATCATCTAAAAACCAGATGTTATTTTTGACTCCAACTGCTTGACTAGTGTCTGAATTGTTTCCACAAAAAGGGGTAGGGCTTCAAGATCACCTTGCTGAGCTCCCTCTTCTGACATTATGACAGAGCTTCCGTAATAAAGGTAACTAGATTTACTATAAGCGCAATGGGTATAATTATATAATTCGGGGCGATTTGAAAAAAGAACACCATTCAGCATTGTTTCTCTATTTAGAGAGTTAAAGGCATTCTCAAATCTAATTTAAAAGAACAGTGCATTTTGGATTGTAGTCGCGTTCAATTAGGTTTCGAAACGAGTGTGCAGCTATTTCGGCTCCTCGGTTAGTACCGCGTCCGACCTACCTGTACTTTTCCGAAAAAATTTTGTCACTCGGAGAGGGCCTTGTTTCCAGTGCATTTAGACGCGATACGTCACAGCATGTTGCCTTTGTCAATCGGTCTCAACCCTCTATCTATCTTTATGAGGGCGATAAGCTTTGCGCCAAAAAAGAAAAGTCTTAGGGGCTCGGGTGTTTTGCCATCTCCAATTAGGTTTATCAGCTTAGTATGCAATTTCAGAAAACTAAGTCCTGCACTGCCATTCGACTTACTAACAAGAAAAATCAATAAAAACATGAGAAACGATTTTATCAGGACCTGCTGCTGATCCGTTCGGAAAGGACATTATTGCTTTGTATAGGTCGAAAATCGGTTACGAAATAAAAAAAATATCTAAAATTTCTGGATTTGGAGCTGCAAATTTGGCTTGTTGAGGGTGCTCAGACAACAATTTTTGATAGTTATCAGTTAAAAAAGGAGCAATTTTGTCATCCAAAGCAGCGAGCCTTATCTCTCGCTTTATATTTCCTTCATTGAGCTTACTACTTATTAGCTTTTTTCTCTGCTCGAGGTCACTCAGAGACGGGCTTGAAAATTGGGGATGGGGTTTTTGGAAAGGACACGCCATACTCTTGAATTTTTTTATTCATCAAAGAGCTCATGCTTGTGGTCTGTTTGCGTCCACTTCTTTTCGGTTGCTCCAAAAAAACAAGAACGACGTTAAAAATGTTAGCCATTTTTTAACATCTTCTACATTGTAGAAGATGCCATTTTTTTTGTCCGACAGACTTTCCGCCAAGGGAACACGCGAGTCTTTTGGTACTCTCTTGAGTACTCGGACTTTTGAGATGGCTGTCTTAGCATAATTGTCTAGCACTAAATCATTACCTATTGTTGCAAAATTAACAGATTTTACATCAACGCATGCAGGACATTGAAACCATTGGGTTTTCTTAGAGTCGTTAAGAGAAATAATTACACAATTGATATGATACCAACTAACAAAACAATCAGATCCAATCCAGTTTATCCATCCTGAAGGTTTTTAGCAATATTTGCTTGAACACTCTTTGTTGTTTTTCCTCATCTTGACGCATCAAAAAAAAGGCTTTGACTGGACTTTGGGGACTGAACTAACCCATAATAAGCGGTTAGTGGGAATTTTTTAAATCAGCAAGTACAAAAAAAAACAAAAAACATTTAAATTTTTATTTAAATTTCAAATACGAACTCTAAAAATAAAAAACAAGAACAATCTCATCCGAGCTTAGTAGATCTAGCGGGGCACAACCAGACTCTTCAAGCCAGTTCCAGTTTCCCCTTCCCCACAGAAAGCCACTTGACAGACCTGTCTCTGAAATCCCTTAGAGGGCGCTCCACAAACAGGCACAAATATCAAGCAGAAAAAATCTATTTAATAAGTTTATCACAACAATAAGGCTAAATGCCTAATTGTTTATTAGATCTTCCAAAAACGTTTTTTCAAAATAATTAGTTTTATGTTGCTGTTTGAAGATGAGTTTTTTGTTCGATAAGGTTCACCTATTTGATTATTGGGACAAAAAATTGATATGGGCTGGTAATAGGTTTTTCAAATTTTTCAGAACTGGCATGACAATTTCCAATCTGGAAAAACATAATTGTCAGCATTTTACACAGTGGTTTCAAAGCTTCAACTCGTTTTCCAACCCCCTCCCTCCACCTCACACTACCATCAATTTTTTGGTGTAACGAATGGTTTTACAAGGTTATTTATGAACACCCTATACGTTTGGTACAGCCTAATCAGAGTGCATGTCAATTTTTATAACGATAGAACAATGTGAACAGTAGCTTTACTAAAAAAATAAAATCAACTGAATTGGGCCCTTTTGTAATGCGACGGTCCGTGCACCGATTGGATAGGGCCATACCAACGCCATGCAAATATATCAGCCAAATTTTTTTGAATAAATCAAGCCATTTTCAAAGCATTCAGAGAATTGTCAATCAAAATCTACCCTAATCTGGCCATGATTTAACCCCAGTTGTCGGAGGTCGCATAGGTGAACAATATTAATACGTGACGTTATTAATAATTAATGTACTCGAAGTCCAATTTAACTCCAAAAACTTGACGCTGAATCAAAAGAGTTTCTTTTATCGTTTAAAAAAGGTCAACGACCTAGAACTAGTCCTGATAACTGGAGTTGAACGTGTGACTTTGCGAAAGGTACTCGGTGTCATGTTTGACGAGAATCTGTCGTTCAAGGAGAACATTGCGTCAGTATCATGTCTGTTTTTTGGTGCGCCTCAAACGTCTGAACTATACAACAGAAGAGCTGAAATTACTTTATAATTCTTTGGTGATATCTCGATTATCTTACTGCGCGTCTGTTTGGGGTGGTACATATTCATATTTACAAGATCAAACAGACCGAGTTCAGAACAAAGCACTGTTTGTTGATATTATTGACAAAATTGAACCTATTCGCAAAATTATCTGCAAATCTGACCAGGCCTTGCTACGCAAAATAACCGAGACCGGGTATCTCCATCAGCTATATCTTCTCCTGCCACGCAGAACGAATTATGCCGCAGATACCCTGCGACCCAGAAACGCTGGAGTCATGAAGGCTAAATTGGAAAAAAAACACTCTGTATTTTCCCTTCGAGAGTTTTCACAGGAGTGGTCACTTAATTTGTAAATATGTATTGGAATTTTTATCCGATATTAATAAAAGTTTTGTTGTTGTTTGTATGTTGATGTTAAACAGAAGGTCAGAAGTATCATAGTAACCGACGTTACTGTCAGGAGTCTCCTCATCACGTATTCCAGTCAAACCCTTGGAACTTTCTAGATACGGAAGTGATAGTGATAAAAGAAGATGACAAGGGTTGATGTCCTTACAATTAAAACCGATAAGAGTTACGTTTCTTCACTAAGAACACGCAACTCGACACGAGAAAAAATAATATACAAGTGTTACAAATAAAAATATTTGTCGAAAGTTTTTTTGTTATTTATTGTTCCGAGTCGCAAGCGGCGTTCGCAATCTGTATTGCCAGGGAGATTCTTTGTTTTAAAAGCTACCTGCTCTGGGTTCCTCAGTGCATATGCTTAGGTTCTTACAAAGCTTGTTTATTAGATCTTCCAAAAACGTTTTTTCAAAATAATTAGTTTTATGTTGCTGTTTGAAGATGAGTTTTTTGTTCGATAAGGTTCACCTATTTGATTATTGGGACAAAAAATTGATATGGGCTGGTAATAGGTTTTTCAAATTTTTCAGAACTGGCATGACAATTTCCAATCTGGAAAAACATAATTGTCAGCATTTTACACAGTGGTTTCAAAGCTTCAACTCGTTTTCCAACCCCCTCCCTCCACCTCACACTACCATCAATTTTTTGGTGTAACGAATGGTTTTACAAGGTTATTTATGAACACCCTATACGTTTGGTACAGCCTAATCAGAGTGCATGTCAATTTTTATAACGATAGAACATTGTGAACAGTAGCTTTACTAAAAAAATAAAATCAACTGAATTGGGCCCTTTTGTAATGCGACGGTCCGTGCACCGATTGGATAGGGCCATACCAACGCCATGCAAATATATCAGCCAAATTTTTTTGAATAAATCAAGCCATTTTCAAAGCATTCAGAGAATTGTCAATCAAAATCTACCCTATTCGATTATAGCACACATGAAATTGTCTTTGTTGGATGTATTTTGAAGTTTTTTGCACCCTCTGAGGCAGATGATTGCACTCCTCAGAAGTGCAAATCTTAATTTTGATCTTTAAAATTTATTGTGTCCGAGTATGATTCGTTCGGTTTTTCGCAAAGTTTCTCTGTTAGTTTCTGGACGGTTTTCGTAGAGCCTGGTGCAGCTCCTACCAGTACACGCAAAAACTAATGAAACCAAGCTGCTGTGTTCCACATCCAGAATTCTTTGTTGTTATTTTAATGTTTTGACACTCTTATAATATTTGTAAGCGTCAGATATAGTCAAGGGCAGGATTCAGCATGGGAAAAAATTTTTACACCGAACTGAAAAAGGTTGGACTGGGTCGGCCTCCCCAGAGTCCAATTGCCTTGATTTCAAGTCGAACGTCATAGTTTGTGTTGGTTGTTTTAGTGAATGCTTTGGCTTTCGAACGGTTGAAATTTCGGCTCTTTTTCAACATCATGGCACACTTGGTCCTGGAGTGTCGCAGGTGTATCACGAAATTCAATATGTCTTTGGTGAGTGTATCCATTTTTGGGGTAGTTTAGAGAGAGCGCCAGTAAGAACGGTTCTCAACATGCGTGTGTATGTGAGGTTTTTAGTGGTTCCCATCCATATCTCAGATTTAAGCATTCTTTAAACCCTGATTTGTTGAGGAAAAAATTGTGATTTTTTATTAATAGCACGTGCAGCCAGTTTGATATTCCTTGATGTGATGATAGAATTCTTGTCAGGTTTTTTTTCTGATGAGAATTTTTTTTACATTTTAGCCTTTTTTGTGAGTGTCGAGTTTTGATGTCTCTATTTATCAGAGTTTGTTCCGGTTCAGCTATTTCTGTATCACTGTTTTCTAACGGATCAAAAATTGCTCGTGACCAGTCATAATTTCAGGAAAAGTCCGTGTTACTGAGGAAGTCCAATGCTCCCAGGCATTGTGATAGTGCGATCTTCATCATTTATATGGTTTTTACCAGTATTACAAGGAAGTAGCTGCTGTCTCACTTTTTTTTCAATTTCATCGATTTTCTTAAATGGTTCGGGAGTTGTTCTGGATTTGGAGCTGCAAATTTGGCTTGTTGAGGGTGCTCAGACCACAATTTTTGATAGTTATTAGTTAAAAAAGGAGCAATTTTGTCATCCAGAAGCAGCGAGCCTTATCCCTCGCTTTGTATTTCCTTCATTGAGCTTACTACTTATTAGCTTTTTTCTCTGCTCGAGGTCACTCAGAGACGGGCTTGAAAATTGGGGATGGGGTTTTTGGAAAGGACACGCCATACTCTTGAATTTTTTTATTCATCAAAGAGCTCATGCTTGTGGTCTGTTTGCGTCCACTTCTTTTCGGTTGCTCCAAAAAAACAAGAACGACGTTAAAAATGTTAGCCATTTTTTAACATCTTCTACATTGTAGAAGATGCCATTTTTTTTGTCCGACAGACTTTCCGCCAAGGGAACACGCGAGTCTTTTGGTACTCTCTTGAGTACTCGGACTTTTGAGATGGCTGTCTTAGCATAATTGTCTAGCACTAAATCATTACCTATTGTTGCAAAATTAACAGATTTTACATCAACGCATGCAGGACATTGAAACCATTGGGTTTTCTTAGAGTCGTTAAGAGAAATAATTACACAATTGATATGATACCAACTAACAAAACAATCAGATCCAATCCAGTTTATCCATCCTGAAGGTTTTTAGCAATATTTGCTTGAACACTCTTTGTTGTTTTTCCTCATCTTGACGCATCATAAAGGTAAAAAAAGGCTTTGACTGGACTTTGGGGACTGAACTAACCCATAATAAGCGGTTAGTGGGAATTTTTTAAATCAGCAAGTACAAAAAAAAAAAAAAACATTTAAATTTTTATTTAAATTTCAAATACGAACTCTAAAAATAAAAAACAAGAACAATCTCATCCGAGCTTAGTAGATCTAGCGGTGCACAACCAGACTCTTCAAGCCAGTTCCAGTTTCCCCTTTCCCCACAGAAAGCCACTTGACAGACCTGTCTCTGAAATCCCTTAGAGGGCGCTCCACAAACAGGCACAAATATCAAGCAGAAAAAATCTATTTATTAAGTTTATCACAACAATAAGGCTAAATGCCTAATTGTTTATTAGATCTCCCAAAAACGTTTTTTCAAAATAATTAGTTTTATGTTGCTGTTTGAAGATGAGTTTTTTGTTCGATAAGGTTCACCTATTTGATTATTGGGACAAAAAATTGATTTGGGCTGGTAATAGGTTTTTCGAATTTTCCAGAACTGGCATGACAATTTCCAATCTGGAAAAACCTAATTGTCAGCATTTTACACAGTGGTTTCAAAGTTTCAACTCGTTTTTCAACCCCCTCCCTCCACCTCACACTACCATCAATTTTTTGGTGTAACGAGTGGTTTTACAAGGTTATTTATGGACACCCTATACGTTTGGTACAGCCTAATCAGAGTGCATGTCAATTTTTATAACGATAGAACAATGTGAACAGTAGCTTTACTAAAAAAAATATAATCAACTGAATTGGGCCCTTTTGTAATGCGACGGTCCGTGCACCGATTGGATAGGGCCATACCAACGCTATGCAAATACATCAGCCAAATTTTTTTGAATAAATCAAGCCATTTTCAAAGCATCCAGAGAATTGTCAATCAAAATCTACCCTATTCGATTATAGCACACATGAAATTGTCTTTGTTGGATGTATTTTGAAGTTTTTTGCACCCTCTGAGG